CGGCCGGCCGGCAATTAATTAATATTTGAACGCGCGCCATTTAAATAATTATTTCTGGTCGCCATTTAAATATTTAAATAGGCGCGCATTGTTTAGCAGCCCGTGTCGATTTACGGGGGTTTGTTTTGTTTTTTTTTCGTTTTGTTTTTTTTGTGTTTATCAACCGATTTTTCAACATCCACTTCTTCGGAAATCTCAAGATATCTCTCCGAGTACTACGATCCTTCAACGAACGAATCGGTTGAGAAGTATTGGAAAAGAAAAAGATTCGAATACCCCGGACTGTACTCAGCAGCACTTTTCGTTTTTTCGATTGTTCCCAGTGAAGCCATGTGTGAGACTACGTTCAGCACTGCGTCGTTTTTGTTAGATAAAACAAGAACAAGATTACTGTACAAGCGTGTGGAGATGGTCGTTCTGGGTTCGCAAATAGCCAAGAAATTTCCACACTGGCTCGACTGATTCTCTCACTAATTGTAGTGATTTTTCTAGTTAATTTCATGTTACTTTTCTATCTTTTTTGTTGGATTGGTTGATATGAGCTTTAATTTTCTCCCCCGGTTTCCATTTCTTTGTTTCCCCTTGTTCATTTATACGGTTTTTACATTGTTATGCTACTTGTTAAGAAATAAATTCAAATAATTCTTCAATAATTCCTGTTTTTTCTTAAATTCGAACGGGCCGAACCGGCCGAACCGGCCGGGCCGGGCTGGCCGGGGCTTCCGGCCGGGCCGGACCGGGCCGGGCCGGAGAAAAAATAATCTCGGCACGGCCCGGCCCGGCCGGTTGCAACCCTGGTTTTGATAGTTGGCAGAATTTTGTAACTCTTACAGTAATTAAGATAATTGAGCTCAAAATGAGCAATGCAATGCGTCACTTTGGCTCCAAAACATTTTGCCACATTGACAAACAAATGGACAAGTTTCCGACTACAAAAACAATTTCAAGGTTTTCAAATATGCTTTTTCTGGTATAACACGTTCAGAAATTCAAAAAAATCCAAAATTCAATTTTTCCAAAAGTTTGCTAAAAGTGCTGATTCTGAAAAAAAAGCTTTTCTGCTTTCAAGTGTCTTATTCTTCAGTAGGGCTAGAAAAAAAACAATGGTTGTTCTCGTTGCCATCATCGTACTACCCAAAAAAAATTCAAAATCAAACTTACTTGGCACGAATTCGATTCCAGCGAGCGCGGCGATTCTCTTACGGCTCTCCTCGGCTTCCTCATAACGTCCCTTCTTGCGAAGCCAAATATGAGATTCCGGAAGGATGAAATAGACAATAGCCAGAGTGATCATGGAGATACAAGCGGAGACATGGGAGGAAAGACGCCATTCGCCAGTGAACAGAGCCACCAGAGTGAGCATGATACGAGCGTTGGCCTGGAAGAAAAATTAATAAATTTAGCAATAGACAAAAGTGATCAACGAGTAAAAGTCCTGAGTGAAACAGTGACCTAGATAGAAGCGTTTCTCAACTTTGACACAGATTATCTTGGATCCTGTAAGAGATATCATAACATTGTTTATTGACAAAATGTTCACCACAGCATGAAGTATATTTTGCCAGTTGAACATTTCTTGATATCTCCTACAAAAACCGAGATACAATGCATTAAAGTTTACGGCCTTTTTAGTTGTTAATGGCCCTTTTTTCAGAAATATCGTATGAGGTCAACTACCATAACCTAAAAATAGTTTTATCGGATTTTTAGATTTTTGTGCTATCACACTAAGCCGCCGTGGTGTTATAGATAAAACCATCCTATGAATTTACTGCAAAAACGAAACAGTGATCACAGTATGAAACAAAAAGACCGCACGCTCAACATTGACCCAATTTATCTCGCTCCCTGTCAAAAGTATCAAAAAGTGGTCCACTAATGGAATCTTCTCCATAATATCAGAGATATTTTGTTCGTTGAAAATTTTTTGATATCTTTCACAAGAACCGAGATAACTTGGGTCGAAGTTGACGCTATAACTGGCCAAATGTGGATTTTTCCCTATCGCAGAAAAGAAGAAAAACTGTATATTTGACTGTCCAGTAAACATACCCACTAAATGAAACAGTAATCTAAAAAACTCACCCAGTTACTGAAAGTTCTCAGCTTGAATCTCTGATGTGGAGACACCAATTCCGAAAAATAAGCCCATCCGACAATCATAGTTCCAGCGATTCCGATTCCAGTAAGAGCACGGAATAAGTAGAAAGCGGCGATTGAGTTGAAAGTAGCCGACAAACTCAATGAAGGAATTCCAATAAGCATTGACAAAATGAACGTCTTCTTTCTTCCCATCTGATCAGCCACATATCCCAAAATGATGTTTCCGATCAAGACACCGACGTATTGAACGAATGCCGGACGGAAATCCTTCCATACTGGGAGGCAGTAGATTTTGAATTCCATTGCAGCGGATGTATAATAGCTGTGAGATTTCTCGGTGTGGCAGTCGCTGAGGGCAGTTCCGGTGAGGTTAGCACAAACGTTTGGGAAGTCGTCGTATTGAAGACATTTGCTTTTTGGAACATCGTAGCAAACTTTTCCTGAAACCCCGAAAATTTTTCAATACGAATTTTTCCTGCCTCTCTCACTGCCGACCTAGCTGCGGCGCTCCCCCGCCACTCATTTATATTTGCCACTCGACCAACCCTCTAGCATGTGGAGAGATGGCCGAGCGGTCCAAGGCGCTGGTTTAAGGCACCAGTCCCTTCGGGGGCGTGGGTTCGAATCCCACTCTCTTCAGTTCCCTTTTTACCCTTTTTTAAGAAGTTTTCTTACCTTTCGGGGTATCAATGCAGGTCGTTTTTGGAGTGTAGTTCAAGAAAATCGGGAACAGCTGCTGGATCGAGAAGAAGTGACACATTTGATAGGAGATCAGGATGAGTATATCAACCCGGTAGAGACCGGGCGGTATGATGTGCATGATTGGTCTGAAATTTTGAATTTTTTTTGAAAAAAATTGTTTTTTGATTATCAAAAGTTTTTTATGACGAAAGGACGCAAACAAGTAATTGATATTGGGTGGAAGAATGGGCAGAGTGTAAGAGATTTATAGAAAAAAAATAGAAAAAAAACTAAACGGATGGTAATTTATCATTTAGTGTTATAGGACAAAAAATCAGTGGTTCAATCGTGCAGAAAAATTTAAAAGATAGGAATGCGCGATCTAAAAGGTTAATTGATACACGTGGGTGGAAAAAAATCGGTCAGAAACTGAAAAAAATCGAATTGCAAAATTCCGGAAAAAAACAAAAAAAAATCGGAAAAAAACGGAAAAATAGCACTAGAAATATGGAGAGTCGTAAGTGAAAAAAAAATTTAAAGGAACTTTAAATAATTTTTTAGTTGCGTCCTGCAGCGAAAAAAAGTTCTTACTGTAGTTTTTAAATTTGTTTTGTGCAAAATATTAATCAACTTGGAGCTAATTTATCTCGGTTCCTGGAAGAGATATTAAAAAGTTGTCAACTAAGAAAATGTTACTGATAATATGAGAAATATTTCGTTAGTTGACAACTTTTTGATAACTTTTACAGAAATCAAGATAAACGAGCTCAAAGTTGAGGGTTCTTTTTTCAGGTCTTACATTTTGTAATTGCGATTCAAAAATAGTGATATGTATGTAATTTAAAGAGTTTTGCTTTGAAACAAGGGAAATTATGTTAATGTTAATATAAACTCTATGAATTAGGAAAAAATGCAAAACTCAACTAAAAAAAGCCAGAAACATTTTTTGCAAATGATGCAAATCGCTGATGCAAAATATGCCAGCCACAAAAGTCACACGACACAGAAGCACAGTATTTTTACTTCTTCTTCTTTCATACCAAAAATCACATCAAAAGATGACGAACACTTGAGAGATAAGGAAACGATGATAAGAAGACGGTGGGAAAACGTGGTATAGGACAAAGCGGGGAGAGCATTGAAACGCGACGGATGAGAGAAAAGAGGATTGCGTCATGATATCGAGGGGGTAGGAGATGCCATCTGTTGGGGTCAAGGCTCGTGTTACTTACACTTTTTTACTCTTGCTTTTGGTTATTTTTATGACGAACAATGGAGGGAAATTTTAAGGCGGTGTAGGATGTTAGATTTTGCGTCTACAGTCTAACTGAATACTGTATATTTTTATATGTGAGACTTAAAACTTCAGATTATACTAAACTATACTAGAGCTTCAATGTTGTACATCTTTTTGTACAAGTTCATCTTAATAAGATACAACTCTTGTAACTAAAACTTCCAGAAATAGCTCAGAATTCAGTGCTGTGACACTATCGAGTGGGATATCTCATATGGATGCGATTTCACAAAAAAATTAGTTAACTACAAAATTGAAGTTCTATTTTTGTTAAGCAGACCTGAAAATTTGGTACTGATGTGAAGGTTAAATACTGTTTCAAGTGTTCAAGATATATTTTCTTGTTTCACAGAATATAATACCACGTCAGTTCTGCGCAAAACTGTAATACTTCAAATCAGAAAACTACCGCGTTTCGTAGATCCAAAACTGTCAACTTTGAGCCTATATATCCCATTTTCTGTAAAAGATATCAAAAATATTTCAACTGATAAAATGTTTATCATATTATCAAGAGTATTTTGCTAGTTGATCACTTTTTGATACATTTTACAGGAAACAAGATAAATTGACTCAAAGTTAGAGGAGTCATCCTATTCGAGATATTGATAGTTAGCCGAAAAATTGTTTCTGTTTCAAATTCCTAACAGATTATTCAAGTTTTACTAAAAATTATTCTGTCTGCGGGAGATTTTGTAAAGTTCTATATTTTTAAATTCTGAACACGAAGCTTCAAGCTGATTTTCAAGTCAAATCAGAAAACAAGAGACATATATTCATAGCTACGTATCTCCATTTTTTACACCGTTGCATATGAGTCGCTACGCAGCGAAATGTATAAAGGAATGTGTATTAGAGAGGATACAACGTTAGATATGGGACGTTAGAGAGTTTTGGAAGTTCCCAGGTATGCCAGAAGATATTCAAAATTTTTCCCCTTTGCTTACCAATAAAGTTTTGGGAATCCAAAAAAAATGAAAACACTCTGAAACAGTTTTTTTAAGAGTTAGGAAAAATTGGAAGATAAAACATCTTCAAACTTCAATTTCAGGATTCGGTCCTGGCTGCTTTTAGGCATAACTCTTATTCCTAGTAAGTAGGACCTGATTGAAAAGTTAAAACGGACACATTCTAAACCTATTGTACCCTACGTGTCCCTTTTCAAACACAAAACTGTCCTTTCTACAAAAAATGCCAACGAAAAAAGAGAGAGATAGGTCAAATAAACCAGAGAAAACAGAGACAGAGAAATGCGCACGTGTAGAAAGGGAAGGGAGGGGACATTCGGAAAATGAACGGAAAAAGGGGAGAGAAAGAGGCTCTTTGTCAGAGTACTAGTAACCATCCATAAGTGTCTTCGTCTCTCTTAACAAACCTCATCTCTCGCTTATGGCCTTCTGTTCGATGTCTGGGGCACTCTCTCCGTTTTGTACACTATTTCGATGGTCTTGCTCTATTTCGATGGTCTTGCTCTGGTTCGGTGAAAGGGCGAGGAGCATTGAGGAAGAAAGGGGGAGAGAGAGAGAGAGAGAGAGAGACGCAGAGAAAGGGGGTGTTGGACAGACATAGAGAGGGGATAAAAAAGCGGATACGTGCCAATCTAGGGGGAAAAGAAATGTCGAGAATCAAAAACCGCTAGCTAGATATTTGGAAACGGTTTTTTTGAAGCAAAAATTTTCGGTTTCCGGAATTCCAGAAAGATACTGTGCATTTACAAACTTCAATTCTTCGGGGTTAAGCAAAACTCTCAACTCTAATCCCGCCCACAATTTCTGACTCATAGTTTTTGCAAGAAAGCTTGGAAATTGGATGTAATTTTTTACACATTTTACAACATTTTGACAGTGTGAAGAAGTATTACTGTAGGTTTGGGGAAACTTGGTTTTTGGGAGTTTTAAGTACCGAAGAAAAAAATCTCATAATTATTAATTTTGCTGTTTCGAAATTTTATTGTTTTTGAAAGTTCTTCGTGCATTTCAGTGTTTTTTTTAAATTAACATCCGGGTTCGAATTTTCGAAACTCGAAACAAAAACCGTCGGTTTCACAATGTCTGAAAAATCCTGCGACTACGACGAACTCCAATATGACATCTTGCCAATTCCTTGAAAACAAAACAATCTTCATCTCAAACTCACAATGTTTAAAGTAAAACCATTTTTAAATTTGCAAAAAAAAACGAATATTAGATGTTGTTCATAGTTTTGCAGGAAAAAAAACAATTTAAAAATTGGATTATATTTTCAATTTTTTTTAATGTTAAAAATGTTCTCTGTTTCGAAACTGTATTGTATTTGAAAGTTATTCATATATTTTAGTTCATCGTTGCAATCTACAATACAAATATTACCGTATAACAAAATGTGTAAATTATATGATTGCTTGTTAGTTCTTATTCAACAAAAACAATTTTTGAATCATTTCAAAAATTTCAGTTTCACTAAACTCTTGAATTCACACCAAGTTTATTGAATGGCAGTGTCATCGTCATTAAACTGTGAGATTCAGAACTTCTCTGCTTAAGCTTCAAAGCTTGAGAATAAGTATTTAGCAGTATTTTGAAAAAAAAACCATTGAAAAATCTGAATTTTGGGAAAATATTGAAATTCACTACCAGTTTCAAAACTGCTTGAAAAGTTTACAGAATTTTTACAAATTTCTTGAAACCGAAACATTTTTTTAAGTGAAAAAAGTTGAATTCACACTAATCCTTACAATAACTTCGTATTGAAAAAGGACAACGATCAAATTCTTTTTAATTCGAAAAACTTTGAAAATCGCTGCAAAGGGCTGAAAACTCGTCGAGGGTACATCGAGGGTTCGTACATTCCTGAAACCTTCTAGAACGTTCAAATTTTTTTTTGAATTTCCGTCAAAAATAAAAATTCTAGGCCTCCAGAAAAGTGTCAGAAATGAAAAGCGGAGAGTTTACAGTTTTGACGGGGATTCAAAAAAAAAGCTTCCAGAACCTTCTGAAAGTTTCTAGAGACTGCAACTTTTTTTGCTTTTTGAATCGATTTTTCCAATTTTTTACTATGGGTGACATATTTTATAAATCATTTTGATGTAGTAATAATAATTTTTCTTGGTGTCCCCCTGTAAAATGAATAACCGCACGAAAGAAAAATTATCACTGAATCATTAAAATTTCGCTGAGAATTACATTAGTGAGTGTCCCTCTATACTTTTGTTCATAACTTTGCTCAAACTTGTCCAATGATCGAAAACTTTTTTATAAATTTAGCTGAATTTCCAACAAAACGTCATATAAGTTTTTTGAAACTGAATCACTTTTTGTGTCTTCTGAATTTTCACAGACGTGACGATGACTCCAGATGAAAAAAAAACACCTGCTCTTGAGATGTGCTCACTGAAGCATAAAAAGTATGGTTCAGAAGTTCGGCTATAACTCGGCTCAAACGAATCCAATGATCTTCAAATTTCGAAACAATGTGTGTCTTTAATTGCTCTA